GAAATACGACTCATTGAATTCTGTTTAATGACCAAAATAACATTATATTGGGCATACTCCTTTCCTCCTTCGTGAGTGTATGGGCATTTCGTAACTGTCGACACGGAATCAACACTCATTCAGAAAACCCATGAAAACAAATTTCAACTGTATTGCACTATATTGGATATGGAACTGAAATTTCAGCTTACCGGTTGGCTGCTGGAGTTCTTTGATGATATCGTCTCTCCCCATCTCTCGTAAAGCATCCAGAACATTATCATAGGTCTTCTTGGGATGTTTTTTGCATAAAATGGAGAGAGTTCCATCGATCTTCTCCTTGTAGGTTCCTTTGGCTTTTAGTTCTATTTGCTCATCAGCTGAAAGATACCCTTTCACAGCTAATTTTTCGATGAATAAATCCACATCCATGAAAACCCCTCTCTTCAAGATGATTTGAAGACGAGGCAGAAGCTGAAGAAAACCTGTCATTTTGCCTAAAAAGCAGTCCAAGGACGTTATTGATGAATAGGAAAGGCTTCCTTTCGCTATATTTACGTGCATATGTGTATGTATTATATATTGGAGTAATCTGTGCCTTACTGAAGCTGTATACATTTGGCAATCTCGTTATAAAACAAAAAACATAATGCAATCTTACAACAATGACCAACATGGCAAAAAATAGAATCGGATGAAAATATTGAAATTCGGATGGAAATATTTTAACCCTTTCAGAACTGAATTAAGGCAGCTATCGGAATAATACCCTTTTTGGCATTTTTGAGCTTCTTCATGACTGTAATTGATATTTTCATGTTTTATATCTGCTTTTCATATTTTATATAAAATTACCATATTATACCATATATGATATATTATCCATTCAATTAAATAACAGAAGACTAAAAAACTAATGGTTGAAAGAAATACTCTGATAGAACTGAGCCATGCATAATTGCTCCTATTGTAGAGTAATATGTAGCACAAAGTCACGAGAATCCCAAGAAATTGCCATAGACACAATGTAAATGGAATGTCCATTGGAATGGACGCCAGGTCTGAAAGGGTTTTAAGCTTCAACGTTCACAGTGGTGCACATATACTCTTGCCAGTGTTGTGTTGGGGAAGGATTAACCTGAGGGAAGGGCTGAATAAATAGTCACTGCTGAACCTCACTTGACTAACCTTCACAAGACTCTTCGCCATCAGTAGTCTTTCTCAAAAATACTTAATTGAGTTGGGCTTCTGCATACAATGACATTCAGCAATTTCTTTAAATTATTGAATGCAAAAATGAGTCAGTTTCCCCACAGATACCTTGATCATTATTTTTCATTAAAGACAGGAAGTTACAAGTAAAAGGAAATTTTATTTCTTAGTTATTTTTTCAAGAATCCAAGTGATCAATTCAAAAAAATCTTAAGTTCATGAAACAGACGTTCAAATGCTTCAGATATATCCATAGATCGGATTCTATATATCAAATATACAATGTTTTCTGTTCTAGCTGCAGGAGCTTTTCCAACAAAATAAATGAATCTTTCATGGTTCTAGCCTCAAAAGCACGTTCATTTTATTTCCTGCCCCCCCCCAAAAAAAAATATCCGTAATTTAACTGTTCTCTTCCAATCCCCAGTTAAATGCTCTAGATTTACTAAGATAGATTACTAGATAGATAGGACTAGATAGATTTACTAGGCTTTATACAATCACCAACTTGTAACATGACATACCTCTATGGGGAACGCTCTTGTTTTTGGTCTCTGGTGGTTAAGCTTCTTAATCACTGTCAGTAGTAATAAAACAATTACTTGGAGAGGGGAAACAGCCTGAAATTTGAGCTTCTCATGGAAGGCGCCATATTGACACTTCACATTACCACCATTGCAGCTATCATTGATAAGAGGCCCAGCCCCACAGGACAGCTTTCACAGTTTTCTTCTGAGATCAGTAGGAGTCTAGCCGTGCAGCAGAAATTCAGCATTTTCCTGAAAAGGAAAATAAAATTGAAAATAAAGTGATTGCTTGTGCATCTTGCAGTGAAGAATGTGATCTCTGTGCAATGAATAGAGAAACCCTACGTTATGGATACATGTGATGTTTGAAATACAGCTTAGGCGAAAGAGTAGGTTGGTCATAGTAAATCAGATGTAAAGTGTGTTTAGTGTTTGCTGAACAATGCTTTTCCCTCCTGATACTCAGAAACAAAGCAACTATTCTCAACTTACCATACAATAAGTCACCTGTAAAAATTATGTCCGCCAGCTTTGTCTGGTGAGTTCTTCGAAACTATTCCGGGACCATGGGGAAGTAATCATCCTCTTGAGAAATGTGTAGGGAAAGGAGGAACAGCTGGTACTGCAACGCTTTCTTCATGGCGGATTCCCTAGGCACTCCGAATGCGTTCTCCTTCTGCAGGTATGCTTGAACTTTCATCAACATTGCTAGACTTCTAGGCCTAATACTAAGCCAAGTTATTCAAAACTTTAAAATGTTACATCTGTTACATAAGCAAGGCAGATGGTTTTCAGCTGAAAATTCCGATCAGGAATGTGCAGATATTTTGCTCTCATAATTTCAACGTAAAATATACGAGTGAATAAGGATACAATTATTGCTAAGCGTACTAATTAATTATCTACCTTACTCAAGAATGAATAAGCAATTACAGACCGCGATATTTGCATCTCAATTAATCATGAAAGCGGCTGAAAAGCCTTCAGAATCAAATGGAGAAAAGGAACTAGGTCTCCAATCATCACCGCCTTTCATCCAGTTTCATCTCAGTTTTTGAACAATAAATATGTTTTTGGATATTTTCTGACAGTCATGATAGCATCAGGCGGGATTGAGGAAGCAATGCCTGTCTGATTAGGTCTTTCTAGCAAAGGCGAACCTTACGAAAAGATCCTATAGGATCATATGAGGTCTTTGAAACATAAAAATCTCATTCGAATCTCACAGGAATTTTAAAGGGTACTTATGGTATCCTATTGGAATCCTACAATACTTCTCCGTTAAGTGAGAAACATTGGAAATTATGGTGAGCAAAAAAAAGTATGGTATAGATCTTGAACGACATTCACAAGAAAATCATCCTCACATTGAAGAGAGCTGCATCCAACTTTTTTTCTTGGATTAGTCACGTTGGTTAATGTGGCATTCACGAATTTGAATGTTTGCAAATGCGGCTGTAAGTGGACTGGAATAATTTAAACTTCTTCCTCCATTACATTTTTTCAGATTCACGCAAAATTGTGTCGTCCTGTGAGCTATATATTTTTTAATAGTTTCTCAACTTGTATAAGCAATATTGGACTTTTTCTCGCTGAGCGAGTTGCTTTCTTCAGTTGCGATTCTCATCAATGGATCCTTACCATCCCTCGTGATTAAATATATGAAATGCGGTTTCTTGCTTTCTCCTCTGGCTCGCCTATAGAAAAGTAAACGCTGTGGCACTCGAATACCAAGAGAAATGTCCTTATCTAATCTACGTCACGTCCCGTCGCAATGTAGCGAGTCCTTGCAAGTCCACTTTGAACACTTTGCACTTTGAAGGAAAATCTATTCCCTAGTAATTCGCCAGCCAATAAGTGGCCAATGAAATGAGCGAAAAGATTTCAAACTGATAGCTAGAAAATTGTGCTAGAAGAACCCAACTTCGGTCCAAATTAAGTGTTCCTGGCTTCATCTGTGATTACAGGTGGTCAGAGCGCTACTCCGAGCTAGGTGAGGTTAATGGCGGAGTGTTGGAGGGAGTCTGAATACAACCCTTACCCTGTCTTCACTGGGTCTTAATAGGCAATTACCTAAACTGATGACAACTAGCTCCATCCACTCATAAATGCGCATTTCGCAAATATAAACCATTCAAAACTTAGCCAAACTAAAAGCCTACCTTTGCCTTCATTGCTGATACCTTAGTTGAGAAGCTCTTCACGTGGTGCCAAACGATTTGATTGAAGATCGTGTCCGAACCACCGATCGTGCCCGAACAACGTGTTCGGGCCCGATCTCTCGACGCCCAACGAACGCCCCGTTTGCGATAAGAGTTTCCTCAGAGACATTGTGAGATATGTGCGGCTTGATACCCCCTGCTCGAACAGAAAGATAAGCTATCGCAGATATTGTGGAATAGGAAAATAGAAAAATGGAAGAGGGATGTACCTGATACCCGACATTTCACAAACTTAAGGTAGCTCACGCTCCCCTTCGCTTTACCCAAGTCGTTCTGGTAAATTTCGAAGTGAT